GCAATCTGCGGTCTTTCCTTACACTTAGGTAGCACGGAAAGCCTCAAAACTCTTGAACAAAAGCTCATCTTTCAAACCAGCAGTCTAAATCCCACAGGTATCAACGAAAGCTTTTCATTCCACTAATTTATTCGTGTTTTTCTCGTTGCCATTTCCCACCAATCACGTAGCTCCACTTTCTGCCTTTAAAAGCACACAGAACCGACAATTCCGCTATTCGCTCCGACGAAGGGCTAACGCTCGAAACGTCAGCTTTTATAACCGTAACGGTGGAAAATTCACCATTTCAACTTTGTTGATATATTCATAAACTTAACAATTTGTTAGCGAGTGGATGATAAAGTATAGAGACGTTATTCAAATTAAAGGGAAAGCTTTTACCGAAATATTTTTAATTTGTTAATGTAATTGAAAAGGCTTACGAGCAAACTTCGGAAACAATTTTGACAAGCAACTGTCACCATGTGACACCTGTCAATTGAAGAAGAAAATAAGCGTACGCTTTCGAATAAACAACAGTACTTGTGTGACAAACACATACGAGTTAAAAAAAAAAGTGACAATGCGACGATCTTCTCGTAAAAAAAACACTCAGAGATCTTACGAAAAGTATTGTTTCTTTCCAACGACGATTAATCTTCGAAGATTTACCTCTTTCACAGAAAGTCAAATTGTAAGTGAAGGCAAATGTCTAATTGAGTTGTTAGTCTGCGTGTTATTTTTCTGCTATGGTGTGTGTAAATCTGTCTTTAATTTCTTCGACTAAAAAGCTGAAGTCAGTGAGACTCTTTCCAGCTAGACAAAAGGGGATTTAATGCGCGCAACTTTTATTCATCAAATTCCTCCAGTTTCTGATGAGAAATTTTACGGTAGAAATGTCTAAATTCAAGGGATTTTCAAGAAAAGGCGAAAGTGTATTCATAGAAGAACTCAAAACTTCGCTCAAAGTTTCACAAACGAACAAATTGTTTTGTAGAATTCAGATATTAACGAGAGTCGCATTGATTAACGTAATTGTGAGCTGCAACCCTCTTGTTGTAACGTTCTGATTTACTATTTGTGAAGGATTATTAAATTAAAAAAAATTGTTTTTAGGCCGCGTTTCAATCGTTTTAAAAGTCTGTTTACGAGCCTAGTGGCCCATTAGGCCGGTACTTAACTCCGGTTTCTGTAGCATGAAGCGACTAGGAATATTTTTACTCCCCCCTGGACGGGATGCTAGTCCATCGCAGGGTTACCCCCAGCATTAAATTATCGGTACCCATTTATACACCTGGGTGAAGAGAGGCACTCTGAGAGTAAAGTGTCTTGCCTAAGAACACAACACAATGTCCCGGCCGGGGACAAGTTTAGTACCACCAAATTTATTTCGAAATCAATTTTTGCTGAAAAACCAAATGCAAAGTGATTTGAGAGCGAGAGAGAAGAAAGAATGAATATTATTTATCGCCAAAAGGTCGTGACCGAAAACCTGGAACGAAGCTTGAGATGTTCTGCAAAGTGACTCAAGCGAAACGGATGCCGCCCGCTGTGAGCGAGCTGGATGGGGAGAATACTGCCCGCTCTCGGAACCAATCAGATTGCAGGATTTGTAGAATACCGCCCGCTCACGAACTGAGGAAAAAAACAGTTTTTGCACCATCGACAAAAAATCGATTTGTTCACGTTCCCGTGCAGATAGTAGAGAGATTTAGCACCGCGTTTAAGTGAAACGGCAAAGTCAGCTTGCCCTTTCACGTCTCAGGTAAAATAGCGTGAAGCTTGCTGCTTCAGCTTTTCGTGAGCTAATGTCATAATGGATTTGAAGGTGCCCTTTTAGGGCTTACAAGGAATAGTTTTAGTGACCTTTTCCATGGCCATTAACTTTTTCTCTGTGAGAGAAAAGGAAAACAAATCTTCGGTATACGGCAAACGCGAAACAGGTTACCCTCATTTGTAAACAGCAAAGCCCGACAGGCAAACGTGAGAAAATTGGGGGAAAACAGGGTCACGTGGCCACTCTCGGAGTGCATGTTTCACGCTGACGCGGTGCTAAATCTCTCTAGTAAGATTATAATAATTTCGGTTGAATACAAACACATGTCTTTCCCCCTTAGAACACCCATGTTTTCCAATTTAACGGCGAAAACGTCGTATAAGATTTATTTTTCAATATATGATATGCCATTCAGTTTTATTTTTTGATTTGTAACAATTTCTCAGTTCCCAAACTTACTTTTTGGTCGGATCGCGTCAACTTTGGTTTCGTTCAAAATGGCTAATATTTGAGAAATTCGCAAAGCTATGTGTGGCGCACCATGAAGAGTGCCCAAAAGTTTTATTCCATAATTTACTTATTATGTGTAAGTGCTTATACGCCGTAAAAAGACTAGATCAGGCTCCACATAGGAGAAAATAGCTTTCAACCACATATGGATGTACCTCGCGCATCACAAATTTCAATGCAGGAAGCAAGGTATTTTCAAAAATTTGTAACTCGGTGAAAAATATATACAGTGCAATAATTTGACCGTTAACGTAATAGTAAAAGGTTTTTTTTATGCCCACTCCTGCTTACTCTGTGCAATAATTCCAAATAAAACATAAAAAACCGAATAATTGGAAGCAAGCTCTCAGTTATTGATACATGAATTCGTGGTAATCAAGGGAGATTAGGTAAAATAGCATAGTTCTTCCGGCTCTGAATGTGTCCCCTGTCTCGACAGGAAAAAAATATATCCATTCCCTAAGACACTATTTTTATTAAGGTCATCTGGGAAAGTCGAGCTGTATTCTGACCCCAGTCGTCGTCTGCTAAAAAAAAAAAAAATAAAGTCAAGCTTGAGTGGCAAGGATTGTTTGAGTCAACCCTATTGGAGTCTGTGAGATGATACTGGATTTCTGCATTTCATCTTGGCTGTTTTTACTTGTTTTCTTAGTTTCTAATTTCATGCTTGTATAATGGTGACAGCTGTTGTACGTTTATGAATAATAAAACAGTGCATAGCTTTTGAAGGTGAACCTTTCTCAAGAGAAGAAAATATATTTCCTTTGAAAGGTAAAACTTTTCTTTAATATATTGTATTCTTATTAATCGTAAGTGGAGGTCCAGTTAAGTAGTCAGGACGGCAAAAGTAACGAACACTTTGATAAGAAAATAAATTAAACGAAATTTTTGTCACGTCCTTGTTGTCGTCGCCGTCGTGGTTGCTTCAGATTGTATTCTGCCAATTAACGTCTGCCGAGAAGATTTGGTGTAAATTGTCATTTTCAATTTTAAGCGACAAAATAAAAAATGAAAGTCAAGCTCGAGTACAAGGAATGCTCGAGTCATCCACTCAAGTTTGAATCTCCGAGATAATACTAGTACTTTTTACATAACCTCATGTTTGCTTAATAATGATAGCTGGTAAACGTTAAAATAAAAAAATAAATAAATAAATGAAATGGTATATCCCTTCCGAAGGTGTACCTTTTCACAAGAGAATAAAATATATTTCCTCGGAAAAGGTGAGAAAGGTTTTTTTTTCCTTTCCTTTTTTTATCATTATTCTTATAAGTCGTGAGGGAAATTCGAACTCGCACTGGAAGACCAAAGTAAATTACCTTGGCCAAGTTTAATAGAAAGCTTGTTCTAAATTTGACACTTGCCGTATTCACTCATTCGTAATTATAATAATGATAATAAGAGGCGAAGTTCTGTTACCTTAGGTTTACCATCAAGTAGCGGCTCAAACTGTCAAGCAACAATATACAAGCCACAGGAAAGGAATTTAGGTACATTTGTTGCTGGGAGATTTCTTTCTCTCTTTGGGTCCTCCTTTGTTTTTTTAATTACTCGCTCGTTATTTAACCATAGTTGTTGTGCGTCATGCAACCGATGAATTATGGTAATGACTGAGTAGAGTCTAATTCGATCTGCAAAGATACGAGTGATAACAAAATCGGACAACCGCACAACAAAGAACACCCCAAATATTTAAAAGTGAATTGCCTCTTGAAAGGTATGAATATTTCTGTTAACGGTTTTATGGAGGGTGAATCTAAATTGAGATGTTCAGTTCATTCCTTTTCAAGATAAAAGTTAGTGATAATAATTTTGAACGACGTTTCGTCCTCGCTGATGTCATTTTCAAGCTGATGAAAAGGAAAGTTTTTACATATATGTACTAAAATTCAAGATGTGGGAATAATAAAGGCCATAAAATATGAAAATATGTAAACGCTAGGCGTAAAATAGGAGTGATAAAGTTACAAAGGAGACAATACGAATAAATTAATATGAGAGTTGACGAAAGTAAAACTATAAATTATACGAAGATACCGTAAATTATTATAAAAATAGCTTTGCGAGGATTGAGTCTGACTGTTTGTTCAAGCTTGGGTTAATTTCTTTTATAAAAAGCATCTCGTAAATTAGGTAGTCCAGTTTACTTTTGCATTTCTTCAGGATTTTGAAACTGTGATGTAAGTCACTTGGGGTATGCCCATGCCGCTCTTTAATGTGGCTCCCGATTGAAGAGTGAGACGCTTTGTGTTCTTCAGCACGTTGGTAGAGGTGCCGGCATGTGTAGCATGTGTAGCTCTCATATTCGCATTGTCTCCTTTGTAATTTTATCACTTCTATTTTACGCCTATCGTTTACATATTTCCATATTTTATCACCTTTATCATTCCCACGTCTTGAATTTTAGTACATATATGTAAAATTGTTCCTTTTCATCAGCTTGAAAATGACCTCAGCGAGGCCGAAACGTCGTTCAAAATTATCGCTAATTTTTATCTTGAAAAGCTTTTCTAAAAAACTACTTATCAGTTCATTTCTTTTGGCAAGAAAACTATCAAACAAGCGAAAGTGGAAAATACATCCATTTCTTCCCGGCTAGTGACACATAAATGTCACTAAGACAACTAAAGTAATTAGGCGAAGCTGCTGAAGATTAAAAATGGGACGACGAAGGTAGCCAGATATATTTTTCACAATTATTTTTTTAATGGAACAGTACGCCACTGCGTGTTGAAAAATTCACCTTACTTTCCCAAGAATCAGTAAAATTGCCTTAATATTTTTCAATGTTTTACACAGAAAAAATGCTGCAGGAAATGGAATGTTTCATACTCTTCGCTCTCTTTACTTGTCTGGATTGTGTTTCTGCGAATAACCAGTGTGGAGCAAATAGCATGGGAGGTATGGCTCTTAAGAATTTGCGTTTTCAGGTTATGTCGAAGTCAGCCCTCTTATTCGGTTACACCCTATGCGATGAGAAATCATCTCCCAGAGTTTATCTACCACAGAAACGGAAATATGAAAAAAAGAAGAAGAAAATAATAATAGTTGGTTGCCTTGCATACCACATCCGATTCAGGATCATAATACTTCGACGACATTTACCTCTATAGCATTTTTTAGTATGATTATCCCCTAGACCAAATTATTTATCTTCTACACTATAGTTGTTTGATATCAGCCCTCAGCCATCGTGACTGAAAGGGTATTAAGTTCGACTATTTCTCGTCAAGGAAAAAAAGGTGCGAAGAAATAAACTTTGTGAGAAGGTAAATGACTGACTAGAAAAGGTTTTCGTGTTGAAGGCAATTTGATCGAATAACTCAGTTAAATACAATATGGAAAGGCTTGACACCTGTTCTGCCTTTGAAGAATGAAGGACACAGCAGATTGCTTTTCTGATTGGCTTCTTTATTCCTTCTTCCTCCCTCAGATGATTGTCGAGTGATTCAATTCAAAGAAGGAACAAAAAACAAGATCTTAAAAAATCACGTTATTAGGACAGACCAAGTGCAAGATAAGAATATCTGCGAGTTGAGATGCTATCTTGAGCCAAACTGCGTGTCTTACAACTACGGTCCACAGGGAGGTGGAACATTCACATGCGAGGTGAATAACGCGACCCACTTACAAGACTTCGATTCCTTCGAAGACAAAAGCGAATTTTTGTACACTGAGATTTTTGTAAGTACCTGGCATCATTCACTTTTACAAGTGGGATAAATTTAAGAATAAAAAAACTCTGATAAAGTGTTATTCATTTATTCCATCATTCATTTATTAATTCGTATTTTTTTTATTCATTTTGTACATTGGTCCATTTTATTCTTATCTTTTCAGAACTATTGTGAGAGCAACCCGTGTGCTAATCACGCCACATGTCAAGCGGGATTTGGTGACCATGGATAAG